TCGATCATCAGATATTGTCCAAGATTAACCTTCAGGGTCGATATAACTCACTAGCAGCCTCGCACCGAGGACCTATCCACGTCATCATTTACCCAGAAGGCTTTGTGTATAAATAAAATGGTTCTGTTCATGTTAAATATATTTTTAAAAAATTACAAAACTAAACAGCCTACAGTGTTTTACAGTCTTTATTTTACAGTTAAAACATATGTTTATCAAATAAAGTCTAATGTTACAACTAATCATGGATCCCTTTAAAGAACTGGAGGAGTAGTAATGGAGCAGGTGTTCTCGGTCGGATGTGAACAATGAGTTTTGGTCAGTGTTTGKAACAGACTGATTGATCTTCACAGGTTTTACTCCAACTTGACTCAATGTTTTGCGAAAACAGGATCATTTTGATTTGCAGACTGTTTAAAACCAAGTGAGCAGCGTTTAGAGCAGTCATTTCAAACCACAGCTTTAAGTGTACTCGTGGCTGCGCACATTATTTCATTGCTCACCTCTGCCCATTTTGTGGCAACAATCCAAGTTACTGGAGTGAATTCACCTTTTGAGATGAAGTTGAGCAGATTTTTAAATGACTAGTATTTATGTTGAGTTGGTTTTTTTTAGACCCGGACATGTATTATTATTATTACATATTTTTTGTCTTGCAGGTGTCAAATTACAACTCGGGCGATCTTGATAAATTGGAGACATCTTGCGACAACTTTTTTTTTTTATGTTTTCAACATGCTCAGAATTCAAATGACAAAACAGCCTCTGCAAATCCTGAGAAAACAGCTTCATGTGTTATTATATTTTTAACAGGAGGGCAAATGTTCCCAAACATCTGCAAACCCACCCGTTTTCAGTGGTTTCTTCTCATCAGTGTCCCTGCTGTGTTTGGATTATTAGAGACGATTTGTGGCCCAAACAAGCATTTAACGAGTAGATCCAACTAACATGGAGGTGATGCTGTCAAACTGCTGCGTGTTTCTTGTGCCTCAACACCAAGTTCTCTATTTATTTGTCCTGTGAAGTAACAGCTTTATTGGTTTTAAGCRTCTATGAATGAATTGCACACCCAGTAAGTAGCTGCACTGAGATAAGCTTTTATTTTTTTACATACCACACTTATTTCCTGCCTTAAGAGTCCAGTCGACGCTTCTGCTACTGAAAATGTGACATTTTGAACTCTGCTTTTTTCCCCCTCGTCGGGCCTCGTGACGCAGCGTGGAAATATTTTGTAGAACAATCTTCTCGTTGGTGCCCGGTGACAAACACTAACGGTGTGGTGACGGATCAGGTGCACTCGGGTTTGGAGCTGGGTCCTGTTTTAGTGAGGATCCAGCAGGTGTCAGGGTTTCTGTTCTCCAGGTTGGGTCCTTACTGTTAGCACAAAACCACATCACATGGTTGATTTTCACCTCAGCTCCTCCGCTGGGCTGTGTTTTATCGCTCCTGATGGGAATCTCAGAGATTTGAAGCAGACTGAGTTTTGATCACACTTTGGTGAGGTTTTAAGAGCTCCAGCTCAGGCTGAGGAGCGATGGATGAATCTGAGCTCCAGCCTGCGCAGGAGACTCGTTACCTCTGGAGGCACATTCCAGCTCCTCGTGATGCTAGTTTATGTTGGGATCTTAGATTTCGCCTGCAGAACCAACAGCTTTTAGGGTAAATGTGAAAACCTTTTGTGTTCTAAAGTCCATTTCATCACGCTACATTTATTATTTTACAATTACTTGAAGATGCTTTGAGGGTTCCACTAAAACTGCTTCAGTTTTTTTGTTTTTCCACGTTGCCTTTTTTTATATAAAGTAACTTTTTGCAGTGTGATTGTCATCAGTGTGGATGTTTATTTTCATCATGTGTTGCTGAAGCAGTCTATCAAAGGAAAACATGATTCTGAGTTTATTTGTGTGAGTTTAAAGGCACTAAGCTACAGTATTAAGRGCACACTATAATCAATCAGTTGTAAGAAATACTTTTTATGTTGCTTTAAGTTTGTTTTCTTACAACACCTGTAGTTATAAAAGCTCCATGAACAAACGTTCTCGTCGTCTTCTTTGTGTCACAAAGTTTTTACACAACCTGAGTTTCAAAATGTTGCTCCTGATCTTAGAACAAACAGTCCTCTGTCAAATCCTTCATTTTAAATAGCTGATTAAAGTAACATTGTTTTTATTTTAGTCTCTAAAATGATTCAAATMTGACCTAAAGTGAATAAAAACCGATTCAACTGTGTCATCAGTTGAATGAAAATGAAGAGTTAAAAGGTTCAGTATCAGTTGTTTCTGCCCATCTAATATATTAACAAGTGCAAAACTTTGACAGCTGTCAATAAGAGTGGATTCACCAAATAACCACCAACAGCTTCATTTTACACTGCAGGCCTTTCTTATCAGGTTAAAGATTAAAAATATGCACAATAAAATCAATTGAACAAGTTTGAAAGAGGAAGTTTCTTCTCTCTGAACAACATACTTTGGTTTGTAAAGTCTCTCCTGAACCACAGGACATCTAGACAGATGAGATGAGATGGACTGATGGAAACCAGTGTTCAGCACGGTGGTGGAGGGGGGATGGTTTGGGCTCCTTGCAGTCASTGGGTTGAACTGTAGAGTCGAATCTGTCTGACAGCTGAAGCTTGGACCAAAGTGAGTCACAGAACAGAACAATGACCCCCAAAAACAGCAGCCGGTCTGCAACAGAGATAAACTCCAAACCTCAACCTGACTTCAAGAGAGCCGAGACCAAATAACGTCTGCAGCAAAATGAACTGAATGAAGCAATTAAAAAAACAAAAACAATCCAGGTGACAAACAACAACAGAGTTCATGCTGCTGCAGGATCATGGGCTGGACTTTGTCACACATGGGTGTAATTTGCTGGGGGTCAGGGGGGTTATGACACACACAATAACCCTCCCCCTAATAAAACGACATCGTTTGCTCTAACACAGTAGAAATGAACTGGTTCAGTACACAGCTGAAACTCTCTCGTTGTCTTTAGATAACTTTGACCTGATTTTTAAAATCTGTAATGCCATGATATGTACGTTTAAACATGACTGCTGATAATAACATGCAGGGTTTTAGTCTGGTCTTGTCACATTTTAGCTGTATTTGTTGAATCGTGAATTATATCCTAAAGTCCTGAGAAATGTAATACGTGTTTTTGTAAACAATGCAATGTATTTTAACCCCAATTTATCCTGAATCGTTTTACAAAAGCAAATGATTCAATCAGTGAATAAATAAATAAAAAGGCAGAGAGGGTAGACCTAAAGCTACACCCTTGTTTTCAGTTTTATAATTTAGGCTTCATGATAAAAAATCAACAAGGTGAATTCTGTTGTTTTTCTTCACTTGAGGTTAGATATCAATCATATTCAAAGCCACAGACCAGATCATTTCTTATATCCTGAAAGAGTGTGGGCTTTTTTTATTAGTTTTTCTTTCTTTCTTCTTCCACTGATGTGTTTTTTAATAAACGGCCTCATTAATCTCCAGTTATCAGAGCAGGTTTTGGTGCAGAGCWGATCCAGCCCTGAAGAGCAAACACAGCCCATGTTTCGTCAGGGAGGAGAGTGTAAAACTCATCTTTCAGCTGCTCTTTCTTCCTCAGCCCCAGCAGAGCAGACCTCAAGAGGGTTGTTGTTGTTTTTTTACTCCTCTTTAGTTCCTGAACGTCAGAGGCATGTTACACCCAGCTGCTGCTGCTGCTTTCAGTCCTGACGAGACTTTTCTTCTTCATTTTTGRTGCTTTAATCACATTTTCGGCAGTTTTTGGATTGTATTATTTTAAGTRAAACTACAGCTCTAATGAACACCTGGTAGAGAAGGTAAGTCATCTTTATTGTTTAATTTTTTTCAACATTAAAGGTTTCTCTATGTGGAAACACGTAGAGGGTTGTTTCTGTTCAGACATTAGTGTGTGTGTGTGTGTGTGTGTGTGTGTGTGTGTGTGTGTGTGTGTGTGTGTGTGTGTGATGAGCATCAGGTCCCTGAAGCCCACACGGCCCCACAGGTCAGTAAAAATGTCGCGTTCACGGTCATCTGAAGAAACAGGTGTTTGGGTTTATAACCCGGGCTGTTGCGTCACCGTGCTGTACCCACGCGCCGCAGCAGCGTGTCTGTTAGCAAAATATCCTCTGACTCGGTGGACGGATCTTAACGAAACTTGCAGAACTTCATCATTAGCTGCACAAATAAAACTGATTAACTTTTAGTGTCGTTCAGATGMGAAATGACTGCTCCAGCCGGCAGATATTAGGAAATACAGAAATGGCTAAAACTCATTGAGTTGTACAGATTTTGAGCTGAGATTCGGCGTGGTAGTAGCTGAGACTGATCCCAAATACTTAATTTGAACAATTCATTTCGTTAAAGATCTTTGTTAAGAAATTTCGCCATTAACACTTTGGAGTCAACACTGACTGTTAGCAAAATATCACAGCACTCAGTAGAGGGATAGCAGTGAAACTTTGAGAGAATAATCATTGGATGTACTTTTATAGCTGATTAATTTTTACAGCCAGCACGACTCAAGATAGCCAGCACAGCCGTCTGACCTGAAACACAGAAACATGGCTGTAATTCAGTCAGCTGTTCAGGTATTGTGTTAAAACTRGTTGTGGCTGGTGCTGATGGACAGTCACAACACCGAATCCAACTATTAGAGCAGGATATCTGCTTGAAACTTTAGYRKTAACTGTTGAAGTTTATGTGTGTGTGCACAGTAAAAAACAAAGTGTAATGTTAACACCTAGAGTTGGATTTAACTCTGTTTCATATAATATTTGGTMCCACTCAAAATGAGAGTAAAATGTACTCTATAGCCAGTGTCAACTTTTCAGAGATAATTTTACTCATTTTAGTGCCAAAATCAACAATGAGTTGAGTAAAATTATTTAACACTATAGCACGTTAACACTCTAAAGTAATATTTTTTATGGAGTTAATTTTACATTAAACTTTCTTTAAAATATACACATTATTGTGTAATACTATAATTACTTTTTGCTTTCCTTTCTACACAGTTTGAGTCAGAGTACGCAGAGTTCTGCACTGTATTCCAGAGTTTAAACAAATTCTTGAAGTGTTGTATTAACACTGGTCATAAGTTGGAAAAACAGCACAACAGTGTGACCCTTCACACACCAGGAAGTACCTCTCACTCATGGTGTCGACTTATGGTAAATAACACAAAACTTAAACTTGAAAAACTAAACAACCTGAACAAGAAAACTAACCAGAAAAACAAAGTTTTTACACTCATGAACATTTTTAATAATCTTAGACATGCAAACACATCATTTCTACTAGATTACCCAGCATTCCTTGCTGAGAAAATTCTGGTCCACGAGGAAGAGAGTAGTGCTTTTCAGAATACTTCTTTCAACACTGCATTGTGTTCTATAATGACACTGTTAAGTGTTAATCAAGACTTAACAGTGGGCGGAGCTTATTTAACACTGTCCAGAGTTGAGACAACACTGATGAAATCAACTCTGTGAATTAACACCAACACTGGACGTCAGTTTACTCAGAAAGGGTTAAAATAACACTCGGGGAGCTGAAATTAACTCTGAAAAGTTTAACACTGCAAATTTAACACTCCATTTTTTTACTGTACAGGTCCAGGTTGGGGTCCAGGAGCCAGGATCACGCCTCCAGGTCCAGGTCCACTGCAAATTTAACACTCCATTTTTTTACTGTGTGAATGGGTTTCAGTGACACTGTTAGAAACTATAACTTTTTCAGTCGACCCAACTCAAAGCCACCACAGCTAATCCACATTAACCAGCACAAAAACGTCTGTAAGGCAGTTCATTTGACAGATACTGAGCTGAAGTTTGAGGTAGCTGAGAGTCATCCTCTACACATAATCTGAGCACAGACAGCAGCTGCCATTAATGTGGGTTCAGTGTTTTTCACTGCTGTTCATTGCTTGTGAGGCAGAGCGGAGCTTATTTCTTTTAAACTTGGACTTTGTAAATCGTGTTTGTGGRTTTATTTTCAGATTTAATGCAGACATCTCAGCAGTGTATTTGAATAATATCTGATCTGATATTTAATATCTTTAATAATATCTGAGTGAWATTCAGTTCCTCCCGTCTGTCCCCCGTCTCTGTAAATCCCTGGAGCTGCTCTAYTGTGCTTTATTATTTTAGTTTGGGACAGAAACATTGCTATCAGGGGACAATCACAGCTGTATTGGACTGAAATTCATGCTGCGTACATAAACTAGCATACTGCACCAAACCTCTTACATTTAGAGAGCCAGAATAAAAATATAAAGTCCAATAGATTAAAATAAATAAATAAAGCTAAYAACATAAATTATATAAAAAGGAAGTCTTTAGGATCCATAAAGACGTCCCATCCAGCCCAGAGGGAAAGGCTGACTGGGAGAGCAAAGACCTTTGGGTTCCAGCTGTTATCTCTGTAACCCACCATCAAGCAGCTTCTCCTCTGAGGGAAGCAGCTTCACACAAACAGCAGCCACAGCATCTGTTGTTAAATCTGGTTTTACACACGGCTGACACATTTCATCATCAAATCTTACATCAACGACGGAGCAGCAGCATGTGACGTGGTGTCCTGCAGCTCCACCTGGGAGGGCTTTCAATGCAGAACCCAAATTGCATCATTGTATCAGAACACACAACRACGACACAGAAACAAAAAGATTTCAGATTTCAGCTGTATTGGGATGTAAGCTGTCAGAGTTTGTGACACATCCAGCACAAGTTTCTCAGTAAAGCGTTTTGTCCAGACTCCTCCGTCCCAGACAGCTCTTTCATGGACGTCTCCATTGTTGACCTATTTTCAGTCACTTCATCTGTTTCCGTAGGTAAACAAACACGTAGCTGGCAGACGGTCACAAAGTTTCCTGACAGGGTTTTAATWTAGGGACACATTAACCATTAAAATGAGAAAAAAAACATTGTGCAGATTTATTAATTTATTTGTGTACTTTTTTCATAATTGGCTTTAAAGACATTACAGTTAGTAAGCAATGTTTGTTGTCCCTACATTACATTTTGTGGTTCTTAAATTATGGAGTCACCTGAGTGATGAACAATATTGTGGYGTTAACTTTGTGAAAGCTTTCCTCGATGTTAGTTTATCTCATTTTTATAATAATTGTGGAGGTGTGTCCCACTCTTCTTTACAGCATTGTTACAATTTATTAAAGTTTTTATTTTTGCTCAGCTCTCTTGGTCCAGCTACAGCATTTCAGTCAGGTTTCGGTCTGGATTTTGGACCATTGCATCTTGATTCTTTTTTTTTATCCATTCTGTTGTAGATTAGCTGCTGTGTTCKGTGTCATTGTTGTGCTTCATGACCTGGGTTGGTCCAGACTTCATCTGTCAGATTGGTGGTCTCACATTTGACTCTAGAACTCTTTGGTCTGCAGGAGYTCAGGATGGACTCAGTGACTGCAGGGTGCCCAAATCCTCATCCCTCCACCA